TGGTTTCTTTAGGTACCTTTATTTTCTGCATTAGTGTTCATTGGTACCTCCCCTTCTACCTGTCCTACTCTTATTTCAGTAATTTAGATGAGGTAAAATCTGTAAAAAAATCGTACTTGTGCTTATAGGTCTTAACTATATAGTAAAATTTTAAAAATGCTTTGTATTTTTGTAATTGACCTTTATTATGTGTGTATTCAGACAGTAGTCATAGTCCGATATTTAACTAGAGCATGTGTTTAGCGTGCATACCTAGCACTGATCTGTTACTGTAACATTGATATTCTGAAATCCTCTGGAAGGAAACAGTAAGGTTATATGTTGATTTCTTCTTATTTAAGGAAAGATTTATTGGTTGAATGTGATTTTCTGTTTTGTGTTTGGAGATGGACTGTATTTACAGACATCTTTTTTTCCCGCGGAAGTTCTGTTCTAAATTATTGAGAAATTGGATGAACTTATTTTCTTGCTGAGGTGAACAGCTTGAAGTTTTGAAAGTAAAGTGTACATAGTCTTTTCTATATGGGAATGGGGGAATTTTCTAGACTTAATTAAAGCACTGTTGCTTAAATTTTTAATGAGGATCTTCTTTCCCAATACTTAAAATGCCAATATTTTCAATTAAGTTGCTGTGAATAATTTCTGCTGCCCATTTTTTTTCAGCTTTTTCATTCTTTTCCCAGTTGAGTTTTGAATTCTTGTTCTCTTTTGAGAGCCCCCCCCCTTTTTTTTTTCCAGAAGGCAAGGACTCTCTACATAGCTTTTGTGATAACCCAGTTATAGAAAATAGTAGAATAGATGTTCAGATGTTATAACTTCTCTTTTTTGGCTGGGATGGGGTGGATGAGTAAAAAGAAAAATGAATAAGTAAGTGAATATAGGCAGGTATTCAGAGATTCCCTCTGTTGTGTCATTCACCTTGGCACAGTTAAGTAACTACTTATGATTAAGTTTTTCACACAGTCTCAGAAAACAAGGAGTTTCAAATAATAATGTGGGTAACTGATTAGCATCCAACTAGCAGTGGTGCTGGATGGATTAATTGATTCTTAGAGAGTCTAGGAAATGTCAGAACAGTATAAATTCAAACGGCTATTACAACAAAGTAAAAGTTTGAAAAATAAATAATTCAACTGGCAGAAGAAACTTTAGGGGATAGACTAGATTTGGTTTTCTCTGTGGTCTTTCATTCTGAATACTAATTACTACTTGAACATATGTAAGGCTCAAGTGTTGTTTTTTTAAAAATACAGTTGTGAAGTGGTTATGCAAATGAATTCAATTTAAATTTCTTGCCATGTAAATGTGTAGAAGGACTTACTGAGGTTTACTTTCAGTCTTCTGTTTTTCTCATTCATAGTGATGAACCATTTTCATTATTATTGTTTGGACTTTTATTTTATTTAAGGACAGGAGTTAAATGTAAGTCCTGAGAAAAAAACAATTGTTTCATATCACACTTATTTCAGAGTAAAGCTTAGTTGAGGCTATGTACAATAATCAGTTGTAAAAAGGTATTTCCATTCCTCCATCGTCCTTTTGGCTTATTTCGGTTGTCTTATTCAGTTTGCTGTGAATTTGTTTTTGTGGTGGGAAAATTAATTTGAGCTAAAATGTGTCAAAATTACTTAGCAAAAAATTACTGTATGTTGTCCCACAAAAAAAGCAGATACTACTTTCTTTCAACTTCATATCATGGATATACTTATATTTTCACCTTGTGGAGTACTGAATCAAGTTTATACTCTTAGGATCTTAGAGTAGTGGTTTTCAGTCTTGGCTAAATGTTGGAATCATATTGGAAGATTTAAAAAATGCTGGTGCATGGGTCCCACCCACAAAAGATTGATTGATTGCTTTGAGATATGGCCTGTGCCTTAGTTCCTATATGCACTAAGGCTAAGAGCCTCTATATTCTAGAGACTCATACACAATAACACTTTTTAAAATTAGCTGCTAAAAATTCTTGTCATATAGTCATAAGACTAATATATCATGAATGTTTAAAATTATATTCTTGAGTTTACCATGGCCATCTTAAAATGAGTGGTGTTAATAATACTACACATATTTTGAGAGGTGTTTACTACATTTGGCCAAAAGACCAAAAAGCTCAGCAGTTAACTGCCTAAAGTAACAAAGCTGGTAGAGAAATAATGTTTTCTTGGTTAGCTTAATAATATATATTTCAAGGGGATAGATATGACTCCAGTTAAACTATTTACTATTAGCAATATTTTTTTGTAAGCTGTTTTTGTAAATCTACAGTGTGCCTTCTAGCTTTTTTTCTCTCATTCTCAAAACTGAAATAGGCTGGGTACAGTGGCTCATGCCTATAATGCCAGCATTTTGGGAGGCCAACGTGGGAGGACTGTGTGATGTCAGGAGTTCAAAAGTTCAAGACTAGCCTAGGCAACAAAGTGAGATTTCTCTGTTTCTACAAAAAATAAAAAAATTAGCCGGGCATGCTGGCATGTGCCTGTAAACCCAGCTACTCAGGAGGCTGAGGTGAGAGGATCATTTAATTCCAGGAGGTAGAGTCTACAGTGAGCTGTGGTCTTGCCACTGCACTCTAGCCTGAATAGAGCAAGACCCTGTCAAAAAAGAAAAACAAAAACCTGAAACAGATGTTTGAAGTTGCATGTACAAATGTTATTAAAATAGATTCATTTCAGTATTTAGTTCAATAGAATAGTTACTATTTACTAAAGCTGCATGTTTAAGAGTTTCTTTAGGTAATTTCACATATATTATTGTTGTATTCATTATGCTATGATAGGAAGTCCAGTTAGGTTTAAACTGATACTTAATGTTTTACTCAGAATAATTTATGTCACTTGGAGAGAGGCTGATGGCTAAAATTAATTAAACCAAAATTCTCATATGATTTTGGAAATGATGACTATTGAAAACACACTGGGGAGTGAGCACAGTGGCTTGTACTTGTAATCCTAGCTAGCACTTTGAGAGGCCAAGGCAGTAGGATTGCTCAGGCCAGGAGTTTAAGACCAGCCTGGGCAACATAGCAAGACCCCATCTCTACAAAATATACAAAAATTTACAAAGTGTGGTGGCATGTGTTTGTGGTCCCAGCTACTTGGGGGGCTGAGGTGGGAGGATCAGTTGAGCCCAGGAAGCGTAGTGAGCCGAGATGGTGTCACTGCACTCCAGCATGGGTGACAGAAAAAGACCCTGTCTCAAAAAAAGAAAACACATTGAGAAGTAGAAAAGCTGCTCATGAGCCATCTAAATGACGTGTGGCCCAAACATCTGTAATATGCTGTAGAACTTGGGAAAAAATGATATTAAGGATAATTTTAGAAGCGTCTTCATGAATAATTGCTGATCCAGGCCAATTCTTGGCAAAATTATGTCATTGGTTTGTATTTGGTCCTTGCCTGTTTTCTGGAGACCCTTCTACTCTGTCCCTAGTGCTATGACACTTCCCTTTCATTCTTCTCTAAAGTGTCTGGATTTATCTTCCTGTAAATTGTATAACATTCCTCTACTTTTTCTTCTCCTTTGACCAAAATCTTTTCTTAGCCTTGGATCTTTTATTCTTGGGGAGGGGCTGGCAGGTTGAGACACAAAGCATTTATACCATTTTCTTCCTGATTATTTAACCATAAGCCTCTGTACCTACCAGTTGGCTTTATTAAACATAAGTATATTTCTACATTTAGAAAAAAAATTACAGCTATATCAAAGCCCCTGGTATTTGCCACTGAACCTATTTTTCTCCCTTCTGCTCACAGGTAACTGCCAGGCTGAATTTATCCTTCTCAGAAATGTTTTCAGAAACCAAGTCAGCTTTTAAATAATAATTCAAAATGAGTGAAATTTGGGAGGGAAATGTTTATGAGCAGAAGCTTAATACTGTACTTAGAGGTTATAAATAGTTGATAAAACCAGTTCTGCATCTGGATTGTTTTCATCCTTATGTGTTTGACTATTGAGTACTAATTGTTCAAAGACTTTCCTGTTAAAAAAATTGAAAATGCTTGCAAACCTAGGCTATAAGGAGACACAAAGGATTAATTCTACTTTGTTAAAGTCTACTAATGTGTGTTGAAATGTGATTATGGCTTGTAGACAAGGAACCATTGGATGAACAGAATTCAGTGTTTATAGAACTAGATTGTTGGCAGGCATACTTAACTACTGCCAGCATCACTCAAACCAGCCAACTCTTTAATCTTTAGTAAATACTTTGTCAAATAAGAGAGCAGTCTCTTTAAATTTTAGGTAATGAATAGAATTCATTTAGATGTTCATTTACAATGCAGTTAAAATAGGCTATCTTAGATAATCTTTGTTCTATTTGGTTTAGATTAAAAGTGCTAAAGGAATGCTGAAGAGGATGGAACAAGAGCATAAACGTTTTTGAGAGGGTAGAACAGAGAACATAAATAGTTTTGGAGTTCTAAATCTAAAATTATTCCAGAAATAATGAAAATATCTTGTATTATTTCTGACAAAATCAACTCTTTTGGGGGTACTTTTTCTAGAGCATTGATTAGCTGTTTTCTGCAAATGAGAAAGGATCCAGGTATTGGGGCAGAGACAGAGATTTCCTATTTTAAGTTGAGGCAATGAATAACTCCTTGCCCCTACTCTAGTCTCTCTAAGAAGAAATAAGCTTTTCTTCATTGATAAGGTAAAATTAGTTTTATTCCCAGTTTATTTAAAACACTACCACCACCACCACCACCTCAACTCTTCCCCCAAATTGGCTTTGTGTCTGAACTCTAGTCAATTATTCCTTTATATTTTCGTATCTGTTAAGCTTGAAAACCAGATGTCATCCTTGATTTT